TATGTTTCGGAATTAAATTCCATTTTCTGGTGCAATCACAATTTGTTAAAATTTTAAAAACATTTAGAAATATCAAACACTTTAAAATGTTTGTGGACGAAACCCGTCTTTTTGTTTATGATCATCAGTATTATAATTTGGTTTAACAAAATTATTAGGGGAGTTTTAACAGTGGCCAGTGGCGTTACAGTAAAAATTAAATAGCTTTCAACTAGTTGATTAAATTAAAATAAATGTTTAACTAATCTAGTATGTCAGTTTTATTAATTACAGAGGTTATATATTTTTTAATGTGTATCAATTCAAGGATTAATATTATTTTTATGAAAAATAATATCATTAATAATAATTATATTTCATTGTCATATGTAAAAGGACTTTCAGAACAAGTGTATACAATGTTCTCGAAATATAAGGTAAACATTTCTAATAAACCAAACATTACAACAAAAACGTAATTAACAAATTTTAAAACCAAAATCAAGAAAGCAACTTAAACTAAATGTAGTTTATAAAATTGACTGCAAACATTGTAACTCTGCTTACACAAGATAAACAAAACAATATTTACAAAAAAGAATAAAAAAACCATAAAAATAATATTTTAACAAATATTGAAAATTCTTTTGCCTTGACAAAACATGCATTAGAAAGAATCCTCGAAAAAGAGCATAACTATAATAAAAGAACGATACATATTAAATAAAATATATAAACCATGTAAATAATAAAAATGACAAAATATATTTATATATTTATTTTAGTTTAATCAACTAGTAAGGTATTTAATTTTTACTGTAACACCACTGAAAATTTTTAATTCTTAAAAAATCTTCTTTTTGTTTCTCTAATAATCGTTGCCAAATATGTATGAAGAAAATGTTTGAGTGGTTTCAGCAACACCCACCTCTCCCAGACACTCAAGAAATGGAGCATGTTCAAAAATTTTGAAATTTTTTTTATGAATAATAGAGTTGAAAATAAAATTACATTTTTTTTATTTTTTTTTTATCTATTCATTTGCCGGAGTTATGAATTTTTTTAAAATTTATGACGTCACCGGGAATAGACCAATAGGAGCTAGCGCACAACGTTGCCGGCTAGAAGGTTTACGAGAAGTGATGTACGTTCGTTTGTGTACTCCTTCTTACTTTTAGACTTCTAAAACATCGTTAAACAAATATCTTTTAAATATATAATATCAAATGTTTTTTTAAAGTATTATTTCTGTTTAAACTTTTACCATATTTAAAGTTTCATTGTTTTAAAAGTCACTTAATAATTCAGAAAATGGCAAAATGGCAGCACTGTGTATGGCATCTGTCATCATAGTGTCTCCATCAAGAATTTATTTGGAATTTGATTGTTTAATTTTGTACTTTTTATAAATATTATGACTACGAAAAAGTGTTTTGTTCCAGAATGTGATAATGATTCACATTCATCTTCAAAAATATTTATTAGTGTTCCTAGAAATTTGGAAAGAAGAAAATCAACCTTCTACTAGCGATGTTTCTCGTGAACTTTTTAATAAAAATACACCGGATTATCAAGATGTAGCAGCAATTTCTGCTAATTGTCCCCTTCAGGAAATTGAAAATAAGGCTACTATAAATTCTTAGGTGTATAACCTAAAAACCCTTCTGGAAGAAAATGCAGAATCTCCTGAAAGTTTTGAAGATACCGAATTTATTCATCATTTTGTGGAAGAACTAGTGATAAAGAAATAATGGAAAAAAGTGGGTATTTAAACAAACTGGTTCCTGGATCCCATATAATGGCAGATAGGGGTTTCAGAATAATCAGCTACTTGAAAACATGGGATACACTTTAGTAAAGCCACACCTAGTGTATCACAGAATGAAAAAACTTCTCCAGAAGATGTACAATTAAGTAAAAGAATAGCATCTCTAAGAATACATGTGGAAAGAGTTATAAGAAGGGTTAGTTAATTTAACATGTTAAAACCACATTCGTGTGTGAATTTTAAGCAAGTACATTTACTTAGTAATATCTGCATAATTGCTTGTTAACTTACAAGAACCTATTTTGTAAGAGTAAATATTAATTTAATAAACTTTTTTGTTTGTTTTTTAATTTAATTTACCTAATTATCACATTTCAGGGATTATAATGAGTTTTTAAACAGCCAATGTAATTTTTGATAAAAATTTAACTTTTCGAGCAAATCGAAGAGGAATGAGTACCTGTATATGCATAGATTTTTTTGGGACTAAAACTACCAAAACAAAGGCACCTATTTACAGCAGTTTAAAATGAAACATTTTAACAAAAACGCCTATGTCACAGTGATAAATATTAAAAACCAAGTTCAGTTGAATGTGGTAGCAAAGTCTATATATTCCAATAAATCGGGTAACTACATGTGGTATCACTGGTGATAAATTTAAAAATATCACAATGCTTGCCACCTTTTTCAAAAAACCAGAAAGTGTGCCTTCTTATAAAAATGACAACAGTGATAAATGTGAAAAAAAAATTTCATGTTGCTATTCGTTATTACGATAGTAAAACATGTTTGCAGTTCCGTTTATTTTTTATGAAAATCTAAGTAAAAACAACCAATGTCAAAGGGTTTTAATTTTTTTTCTGTCAAACCAAATATATCACAAAATTAAAAATTGATCATAGGTCAAGCTAAAGTAATACCTTTATTAATAGTGGCTTTAAAAAAGGAGAAAGAATAATATTGACTTAAGTTATTATTATTAACATTGGTGATTTTTAATAAAAACTTCAATTATTGTTTACAAACAAAAATATAAAAATCTGTGAAAATTTTATTTATTAACCTTTTAATAAAAAATGAGAAAAATGAAGTAAAAAAACAATTTATTTACAAATAAAAAATATATACAAATCCTAAGAATATAAAAGTACTGATTTATTTTCCTGTAGTAAATGAAGAGGTTTCTTTAACAATCTAGCCAAGTGTACATCATTATCAATAACACTGAGTAGATGTTACAGATGGTTCCTCACTTCTTCTATGAAGCCACATGTTTACAACCTCCTGAAAAAAATAAAAGGGTTAGATATGCAGTTACAAAATAACTATACAACCAGCTACAAAATGCCTTATTTTATGTAACAAGACGAGCACTTTACTAGCTCTGAACGAATCCAGTAAAGAACCTCTGATTTTCAAAACTTAAAAAAAACAAGCTCCCCACATTTTCACATTTTTGAAATATTATAGAGCTTTTCGAAAAAAACTGCAATTTTTAAAAGTACCATTTTTGTTTAAACAGCTATGTCTCATTTTAGGCTATTGAGTATTATAAAATAAAAAATTACGGGATGCTTTGTTAGCTTCAAACGAATCCAGCAGAGCACCCCAGTTTTTTTTTAAACCACACCACATTTTTTGGCTCCTACAATATTATAAAATATTCGAAATTTGACATTTTTAAAAAAAATTCGCAATTCCTTGCTGACTTCAAAGTTTTTTTTCTGAAAACAAATATACTTACCACATTTTTAGGATTTTAAAACAGCCTAAACATGTGTCATAAGTAGTTGTTTTTATATATTAAAAAACTGAAGTGTCCTGCTGACTTTGTTCCAACAAAGCACCCTGTATTATTTAAAAATAGCAATTTTTTTAGTAAAGTTTTACAATATTTCAAGAGTCTAAAAATGGGGTGTGGTTTTTAGAAAAAAGCTTTAAAAAACCGAATTGCTCTGCTGGCTTCTCTCGAAGGTTAGCAAGCACCATGTATTTTTTAAAAATATAATATTTCAAGTGCATAAATATATGGTGTTGCTGTTTTTACAGAAAAAACTTTATAAAACAGAGGTGCTTTGCTGACTTCGTTCGAAGCTATCAGAGCATTTTAAGTTTTGCATAAAACGAGGAGCATAAAATTTTTGAAAAGGGTATAAAAATAGCCTAAAAATATGGCATGTTTTAACTCAAAATTTCATAGGTGCTCTGCAGCATTCTTTGGTATCATAATTATTACTAGGTTCACTAACAAAATCTATTTCTAGATTATTTTAACACTTGCTGCGATTACAAAAAATGTCTCTTTATGTCAAAATTAGAAAAAAAATATTTATAAGAATAAAGGGCCTTATACACTGTTTATTATGTGATATAAAAACAAAAAAGCATAATAAATATTACAAACCTTGAGATTCAACATATCCTAAGCATTGTGCACTAAAAAACAGCCACATCATAAGGTTTTTGCTGTACTTTATATTTAGGTGTAATTTGTCTCCTTCTCTCTTATGGAAAAAGTAAATATCTCCATATTCTTGCTTGGCAGATCTAAAAATAAAACCTGAGATAAATATGTTTTACTATAAAGTGTACTGCTTCATATAAGCTGTAACTACCTACCATTAAAACAATTTATAAATAAAGTTTTACCTTTCTATCTTTTGGAAACTGAGTATTGTTAAAAAATGCAGTAATCATCTCGGTAATCATATTTTCGTTTACAATGGGAAAAATACTTGATTCAACTTTTATAAATACAGCTGATAAATTCATATTCTTCTTCCTTTATATATCCTATATCCCACAGGATAATTTACCCAGATAAATTCAGATTAATAATAAAATTAAACCAAAACAAAAAACTAAGGTTAGTTGTTAGGTGCTGTCAATTTTTAAATGTCACTTAGATGTGCGTTCACTTCGACATTCTGTATGTAGGTTTGTTCGTTGGCTTGGTTTTGTAAAACAAAAAAAACTTCGACACAAGCTGATTGGTCTATTCCCGATGACGTATAATTTCAAATTTTAAATTTCAATTGGGCTTAATTTAAAAACTTTTAGCTTTTTTAACGAACTGATTATTTAGAATAACTTGTATAGCGACTATTACAATATAGTTTATAAAACAGCATATCTCACATGTGAACATGGCCCATTATGTTAATCAGCACTGGGATTGTGGGAAATGAAAAGATAAACTGTCACTTGTCCAGCGAAGTAGGAACTAATGGTATCAATCGAATTGTGGGCAATGATTTTAAGACTGATTGTTCGGACGGCCGAATCCTTGGCCCCAACTCATCTGCTGAAGTCAGGGAGAGAGAGGGAAACCGCCTCAGTTGCTGTACCAACCACAGTCTGCAGTGATACAAAATCTTGCCAAGCACATGATGTTTCTGCACGCGATGAGTGGATGCGACTCGACGTCATCTTGAGGACTCTTTCTAAATATCCAGACCTTGAAGAGACCGTTGGGAAATTCTTGGATCACTCATCCCAGTCAACGGCAATTGCTGCTGCTCGAGAAAAATTTTTGGTGTCCCTGTACGGAACTAACCATCTAACAACTTCATTGAATGCGCTGCGATACAAGCAGCACGTGATATCTGCTTCAAGTTTTCCAGCAACATTGCATCTATCCCTCCCACCGATGCTGCAGCCTACCAGCATAGCTTGCGTCTATATTTACAAGTGCAGCAGTGGCTTGGCAACAGTTTGGATCCGAAGCTGTGGGGTTGGAAGTCAACCAAAAATGGTCTGATCCCACTTACCACCCTGAAGCCCCCGGCTCGTGACAAACTAATGCAGCAAATGCCGCACTGACTGTGGTGGGCGTTCTGGATGCAGGCGGTAGTTCTGTTCTGCACCCAAGTTTGCATCAACTATACCGATTCCTGCACCAACGTGGACGAAAGAACCGACCTCCGATTAGTACATGCATATATACTGATCCAAATTTAAAATTTCGGTGCTCACTGGACGCAAAATTTTTAGCTCTTTACCTTTGAATAGAAAGATATTTTCCGTACGATGCATCGTTTCCATGATATGAGCGGAAAACCAGAAAAACTCGGAAAATTTCGAGAATTTTGGCGTTTTTCGACCTGAAGCGGCACTGCTACGAGGCAGCAAACTTCAGATTCGTGTTCAGCACCCCAAAAAACATATAATTTCGTTGAGAAACTTTCTAACGCTTTCATGTTACCGAAAAACTACCATTTGATCAGGCTGTATCCACTTTCCAAAATGAATTTTCCACCTTTTTAACATGATCAATGCATTTTTCTCTAATGTTCTCCATTTACATCTGAAACTGCCTTCAAAAACAAATTTCGCACATCAGGTAATTTAAATGTTGTATTGTTTCGAGAAACATAACCTTTCAATTGTGACCAGATCAGTTCAATGGGATTTAACTCGTGAAGAGGCAATCTGAGAATTTCAATTCCTTCTTCTCGGACTAGTGACTCCTTTAATCGACTGATAGGATGCATTATTCAAAACAATAACGGAGTTGGCTGGAAACCATTTTTAAACATAGGACCATCGATTTCTTCACTGTAGTGTTTTGTTTTCTTTGACTCTAACATTATAATAAACCACCTGGCGAAAATCCATCGGTGCTTCCAATGTGGGCTATTATTAAACGATTTCTATTTCCTGTTAGATTTTTCAATCCATAAAGGATTGGGTTTTAGTTTTGATCTAGGTATCTTGTATAATTTTTGAATACCTGTTTGTGCTGATTCCTGTGTCTCCACACAATGATTTCGTCTTTCTCTGTTAAAAAGCTGTTTCTGTCACGTTTTTTGTAACGAAAATTTAATTTATGTAATATTTATTGCAGATGAAAATATGATATATTTGGAAGAGTGGGGCTATTTTTTATGTCTGAGTGAAATTTTTTAAGTGTAGGAATTTAATTTTAAAATAAAAAATAATGTACAATTTACCTTATTACATTCTTTACCCAAGTTTCAATAAAGGTCTTGTTTCTTCCTGGGGTTTTTTTGGATGTGAGGCTTTTCCAATAACTGTAGAGGAAGGAAGGTGGTGTATAGTGGGACATGGTATATACTGGGACATGGACTCCAAAAACCATCTCTTTGAGGATAGCTTAACGAATTAATTTAAATCTGAACTAGTTCTGTAATATAACTATTTTGAGTTGCAGTGACTGCAATGACTAATGTGTAATATATACATTGCAAAAAAAAAATAATTTTTTTAGAAATTGAACAGGTCGCTGATTTGAGATTTTGTTTTGGTACTTGGAAGGTCTCAGGGAGATTTTATATCAATATTATGACATACATTAGTGCGTAATTGTTGAATATTTCAATTCGTGTTATTGACACGCAAACAAGTTTTAAATAAAAGTTATATGGATTTAGAAAATACCTACGTATTTTAAAAATATTTTTGGATATACTCAGTGTTGCGTTATATATATTTTTTAAAAAGAAGACAAAACTTAACGATGCGTTTTAGCCACTAATTTTGGGGAATTTTAAAAAATCAACAAGACATTAAGAGCTCAAATTTCGAGATTATATCAAGAATAGTGCTGTTGAGGAATGCATTTATTTTCATTATGATATTTCAAAATGTAAAGCTGATTTTTTCTCTCTCGGAAACTGAAACGATTTAAAACTTTAAAATACATGCATATCCAGATAATATTACCTAATTTATTTTGCCAAAATTTAAATTTTTTAACATAAGTACTTTTTGAAATATCCCTGTCCGAAAATTATAAGGGCTGCTGTATTCCCCTTAATTGCTTGGCAAAATTGTATTATTTTTAAAAAAAAATTTCTAGGATTGAATACATTACCAAACCATTTTAAAAATAAAATACATGGGTGTTTTATTTAGAAAACATACGTTTTTATTTGACAGGAAAAAACACAACACCCTGTATATCCAACAATATTTTTAAAATACGTATTTTTCAAATCCATACAACTTTTTATTGAAAACTTGTTTTCTAGTCTATAAAACAAATTGAAATATTGAACAATTACGCACTACATGTAATAAATGTGAACATATTTGACATTAAATAAAGGTTATATTAATATACTTAAGAGTTCAGTATAAATGTAAACACGATTTAGATTGGTTATATTAATTAGTTGTATTAATTGGATATATTAATTGATTATATTAATTATTGGTTATATTAATTAATTAAATATATACCAGGAAGAATTTTTAGCCAACATAGAACGAAGCACGATATTAAAAAGAAGAATTAATCATGTTGTTAGACTTTTTGAATTGATGTTAAGCCGACCCTGAAGAATAAGGTACGGTTAGACGGCCCATCCGCTCTAGCGTTCTTATTTTCCATTTTTATTTTCCCTTTCGAGCATCGGGGTACGTACGATCTCGTGTTTCAGAATACCCGGTTCAATGACATAACAAATAAAAAAAATAGGTCGGTGGAACGGATCTATCTGGTTTTGAAATTAATAAGATGTCTGGAAGCCTTACTTAATTTGATTATTTTGGAAGATTGATTTCATGAAATTCGATACGGATTGCATACGATAGGAAACAACAAATCATTATATTCTAGTTAAAAAATAGCAATATGTAACAAACGGTAATGACAGAATAATTTATTTAATATTTACCATTTTTAAGTTTGGTTTTCTCAATGAGGTTGAATACTATGGAGATGACATGCCAAAAAAAGACACCTCTTCCCCCTTTCTTAGTGGTCATGTCATCGTTGTCTAAGAGCTGTCAGAACTTTGTTCAAATTTAAATACTTCGACGTTATTTCTATCTTAATAAGTGTTTTTTTTTTTTGATTAATTTGTATAAAAATCATGACTAAGTGTGCCAAAATTAATTGTAAAAACTCTTCAGTGAAAGAGTAAGAAAATATCTAATTTAAGTTTTCATAAGTAAGTATAAGGAGTGTACTTAGAATTTTTTTTTAGAATGCTTAACTTTTTTTTATTATAGGTTTCCAAAGACCCACAATATCTCAAAATTTAGTCTAAATTTGTGGGAAAATACCAATTTGAGCATAAACCGAATAGCATGTTGTGCTCTATTTACTTCAAGGAAGAATTTTTTGATAAGAGTGAGTTTAGGGTCAGATTGAAGAAGAATGCTGTTCCGACAATAAATGAATGTTTAGTTAGTATACACTTTATTTATAATAAAACTTAAATAACTAACTTAATAAAGAACATTGGCTTGACTAACTTTATAATAAAGACAAATAACTATAATAAAACTTAAATAACTAACTTTATAATTAAAATTAAAAACCAACTATAATTAAACTTAAAAACCAACTTATAATTAAACTTAAAAACCAACTTATAATTACACTTAAATGACTAACTTTTTAAGTAACACATAATTTAGAATAGAATTTCAAGTATTTAAAAGCAGTTTTTATTAGATCCTAATTTCCTATTATTATCCCTTTCTCAAACTTCCCACTTGAACAATTTTATATTTTTCAAGTATGTACAATACAGGTGTATCAGAAATTAAAGCAAAAAGACAACTTATAACAAAGGTTTAAATTTAGTAATGTCAAGTCATCCTTGCACCCTAAAAAAGTACCAATGAAGAAATTATTCCTCCAATGCAACCAAACAGTTATTTTTAGGATAAGATTTTGTGTCAAATGTTATCCACAGCCACAGGGTTTCTTTTTAAATGGCATGCCACTCAAATTTTTGGTCAAAACAATTTTCATCATGCACTTTTCTTGGAAATTCACAATGCTTTATTAGGATTAAAAACACCAGTTTTTAGAAACTATTTCACTATAACACTAACATTACTAATCAGAAAAAGTGGTTAAAGTTTTCTTTTTGTAATGACAAATCGCAACTGAATGCCTATTTTTAAAATAAATTATCTCTATAATTCCATTTGTATAGTTGTATGCTGTGCATCTGTGAGATTGTTGTTATTATACATAGGTACCAATTATAGAAATCTTTAGTAAGTACACTTCGCGTCATATAAAAGTGGTACACTTATTTTTCCCAATGTAAAACCAACTTGATTTTTAAAAATGACAATTTGTCAGATTTGTCACAGCGCATTGTTACGATGCCAGCTCAATTAAGTAATTTTGATAAAATGAGAATAATTTCAAAAATAGAAGATGGTTGGTCTATTAGACAATTGGCCCAAGAGTATAACAGAAGCAAAACGACAATTCAGAAGATTAAAAAAAAATTCGACAACAATCAAACTGTGGACAGAAAAGGAGGGACTGGGAGACTAGTTATAACCACACCACAACAGGATGAAACCTTAACCAATTATTTAAGGGAACATCCCTTCAATACGGCAAGACAGGCGAAAGTTGACACAAATTTTAATGCTTCAGTAACAACAGCAAAGAAGAATTAGAAAAACTGATTTAAAGAATTGTGTAGCCGCCCGAAAATACAAGCTTAGTGAAGTAAATAAGCAAAGTAGAGTTATATTTGCCTTAAATTATGTTTTAAATGATACAATACATTTTTGGGGTCGGGTAATTTTTTCTGACGAAAAAGTGTTCCAATCACATCATGATGGCCGTATTCGAGTTTATAGACCGCCTCGAAATAGATTTAATGAAAATTATATTTCTTCAAATGATAAGTCCGGACGATTCTCTATAAATGTTTGGGCTTGGATGTATAGAGGAAGTTTAGGAATGTGTTGGAGAATCGAAGGAAGATTAAATGCGATCAACTATATAAACATTTTAGATAATGTAATGTTGCCATC